AGGGGGTGAGGAAGGAGGAGGGTGTCTTGAGATGCTGATGAAACACACAAATTCATAGGTTCCAATAATCATGTAATAGCACTCATCAAGAACTTTCCAGATTCTTCAGCACCCGGCTCCAGGTTTCAAGTGGCGGTGAAGGTCTATTTATTCCCGACGAAGTTGTTTTGTTTAGTTCTCGGTTGACCGATGCCAGAACGACGCTGAGCGGTATTGGGGCGCAACCCTGTAACCTGTTTCGCAAGAGCATGAGGCTTGGTAGAGAGACCAAGGGTTTGCTGAAGGGCGACGGCAAGTAAGTGGCTAACTGGGAGCTGTTGCCAGATCAACGAGGGTTGGAGTTGGGTTGGGTCACGTTGCCCTGTTGCCCAATTTGATGGGTGTGTGAGGCCGGGGATACGTCTAAAGGACTTAGACATGCCATTACAAGGAGCAACTATCTTCCCCCAAATCCTGTGGCCAGGTGTTGATGATAAGTTGTGTGATGCGATACTTTCATTCCGTAAAAAGTCCAATCAAAAGAAATGTTTCTATAGGTTGAATACCTCGCTAAACTCCCTCCCTCAATTTAAGCAATATATCCAGAATGTTTGGGAATTTTAGAACACAATGAAGAACAAACATGACACACTTATAGACTGGTGTAACAATAATTTGGTCTTTTTATCCAAGAAATGTCAGGATTACTCTAAAATGATTGTAAAAAATATACACATACAAGAAATGCAAATTCAAGAATAAATCTTGTACTATAAACAACAAAACTACTTGGTAAAACAAAAACAATCAATCGATATCCAAAACTTGAGAAATCAACTACTAGCCTTTGCACAACATTGTTGGCAATGTCATTTCATCAAAGGAAAATTAACAAAATACCAGACCGAAGGACAAATGGATACTTCCTTTTTTGCACTAGCTAAGTCACGTGCAAGAGGAGCATAAAATTTTAATTGATCCTATCAAGTATTTACACATGGATCCCATTCCCTTTAGTACCTCGGCAGGGAGTCTCAAGACCGTCTATGATTTTCACAACCAGTTATTCACCACAAAGAATTAAAGAAACAAGGAGGACGATGATAAGGAAATATAATTCTTTTTTACTCCTCTCACATAAACTCTCACACAATAACAATTAGGAAAACCTTTATCAAAGGAATCAATATGGACGACACTTATGCAAATGGAAGAAGATAAAACACCTAGTATTGATGGTTTTCCCAAAGAATTTTGGGAAACAGTGTAGCCATTGTTCTCTAAAGACCTCATGAGTTTTTACAGGTTGGTCCAGGAAACAAGTAGAACGGGAGAGGTAATGGGTTAGGGGGTCCTTACTCTTCTCTACAAAAACTGTCAAAAAAGGAGATAAAACTAATTTACGTAATTCCCGCTCAATTACACTTAACTGTGGTTTATAAAATGTTGGCAAAATCATTGCAAAACGATTAACCCATGTAATGGTAGATATTATACATCCCTCACAAACTGGATTCATAAAAGGAAGGCACATTTAAGATAATCTACTATTAACTAGTGAAATGGTAAAACTATCAAGCATATGATCATGTGAACTTGTAATTTCTTAATGCACGTCTGTGTAAGATAAATTTTGGTTCATTGTTGTGCAAGTCGGCCTATGAATGACTGGTTGATTGATCATACCGTGTTGGAGCGGCGAGGATTGGCTTTACCCTGGTGTCAATCTTGCATAACAACATATCCATCAAGGAAATGTCGTGAAACTATTGAGCATTTATTAACCCAATGCCTGGGGTCCATCCTAATGTGGCGTAGGTGGGACTACAACTGGAGAAGACTGACAAAGATAGACTGGCCTTGGGACTGGAGAGCTATACTGCTGAGTCACTGGAACCCTTCCTGTCTGTCTCTATCTGACTTTCAACAACGCCTGTTTATGATAGGAAGAAAAACAATCCTCTGGTCAATTTGGTACAAACACTGTTCATGTAGTGGAGGCAGTCAGGTTGGAGGGAGTGGAAATAACAGAGGTTACTAAACAGTTTGTAAAAACAGAAATTAGAGCCTAGTGGTCCGAAGTTAAAAAATTAAACTAAGCTCTCGATTACAAAAAAATGATATTAAACTTTATCGTGGGCTATGGGCATCGCCACACCACTCTCGAAATGAGAACGAACTTCCCACTAGAACATGAAATAGAAAGAAAAGAAAAAAAAAAAGATATTAAAGACGTCATCGACAAATTTCAATAGGTCAGGTGATATGGTTGGTGAGCAAGGGAATGGGTTGCCAGTTAAAAAAAAAATCTCCTAAAATTCAAAGATTGGTTTGATCTTCAGCCAAGAGATTCGTTGGTGGCTGCTGATAACTTCTCATATTTGTTCCCCTCCCTCAAAGCATTGGTAGAGATACAATGGTATGGGGCAGTAGGGGAATAACCAGGGTTGTCGAGCCCCGGCCCCGGGGCCCTGGCCGGGGTGCGGGGGTCCAGGGCTGGGCACCCCCAACCCCGGC